GGCGCATCTTGGCAAAGAGGTTGCGCTATGGCATGATTCAATACCAGCTCACTATCATCCTTATCACTCTGATATGGAAAGCACTTCTACTGGCGTCAAGTCGGCTTTTCCTGTGGTATGGATGATGAATCCTGCTCAAGGTCAGTGTATCGCATGCTTTGTGACTGAGTAAACTGACTCATACTTTTGCAGTCATGGGATATCAACACTATTGTTTAGCTCGCATTTTGTTACATATCTCTGAGCCCAGACTATGGGTATCCAGTTTGAGAACTATCGAGCATCGGGTAGCTGCAGATGTATGTTAGCCATCTTCATGGATGCCTTTTTGCTAACATCGAGATGCCAGAAAGCGGCCTTGAATGACCTTCATATCGCTGTCGGTCTCGGTATTCACAACCCTTCTGTAGTTGGTGCTGGGTTTACTGTACATCATATACTTTTCACTTGTGAGTTCTGAGTAACTTCTATTGAATTAAAGGCTCACTGACAGTCCAGGTGGTTGTTTGCTAACTCATCCTGTAGAACGACAGGAAGTGCTTGATTTTATTAATAGCTTCGGGAAAAGTATTGGGTGGCCCGTACATCGGCTAACAGATAAGCTAAATGCAACATGGAAGTGAAATACATAATATCATATTGCGTTAAGCATAAGCTGTCAATCAAGCAAAATACTAAAACAACCAGAGAGAGAATGAAAGTCTCTTGTTGTGAATCTGAAGTACTTTAGTTAGCCGTGCATATTGTAAGAGGGTCTAGACCATACTGAGATCTGTAGGGCCTTGGCCCCTCTGTCAAGGTCTAAATCAATCTGCTGCAGAAGAGACGCTTGGCAATGCGCTACTGATCTCAAGAAGGCGAGATAACAGTCTGTAACAACCGGGGTAGATTGAGACATGGCTGAGTATATAGCGGCGCAACAATTTTGGATAAATCCTGGTCCTATGGCGAAGGGAATATGCATAAATGTAAATAAAGATGATTTCAGTATCAGAAAGGCTTCCAGCGATTGGAACAGCAGTGTTCGCATGTCCCTACCCTCTCCTCATAACATGCCGACTCAGAGGCACATGATAGACGTGGATTGTACCAGCCTAAACGCGTGGTTGTAGCTCATCACCAGCGGGACGGAGCTCCCTGATATGTAAATTTCCGTGTGTGAAGGGCCCAAAAGTGGTCGATGGCCTCTGCAGGTTTGCTTGCAAGACTTGGAACAGCCAATGTTAAGATACTGGCAACGTTGGCATCCTTTGGCTGAGAGAGCGAAAGAGTGTTCCTCTTTCATTCAGTAGCATCGATCACAGGCGCTGGATCTCATTGAGGCGGAAACTGTAATATATTGCATTATATACTTTGTCTTTCGGCAGATGGTAAGTAAATGAATTGAACTATTCTGGACTACAAATTAAGCATTATATAACTAATAAATTAACAAAAGCTAATTCGTGAAGTGAAATCGATAGGGCTTGAAATAACTAACTAGAACTAATAGAATAGTTAGATGTTTTATTTTGAGTAAGTGTAAAATACTTTTTGCTTTAAGAATAGCTTATATACCTATTAATATGCTTTAAGGCTAGTAATAAGACTTACTAAGACAAAGTGGAATGAAAATAAGTTAATGTAGGTCTTAAATTAATATAAAACGCTAATAATGTCAGGTTCTATATATTGTGGTCCTGAAGTTCCTTTTGTAAGAAAAGCCAGTTTACTCCTCGTTCTTCTCCGCCTGGGCAATAGCCCAGTTGTGAGAGGCCAGAGTAGCCTCATCCAAACTCTCCTCAGGCAATCCCAAAAGATCATTGTGAGTCTGAAAAACACCATCGCTAGTAGGATAGAACGCACGAGAATACAAAGCCTTCAAGAAGCCCGTGCCCACTCCTTTAGAGAGTTCATCTAATCCCTCCCGGAAACGCTCGACGGCTGATTGATAAGAAATAGTCCAGTCTTCATCAGTCTGGCCCAAGACCTTGTTAACACTATCAAGTAACTCTCGCTGGTTAAGAGTGAAACTCTTGATGTAAACGGGCTTGTTCGCAAAGTGTGCCAGGGTAGTGGACTTGTCGTTCTCGTCCTGTGGGAGTTTCTTCATGTTGACCAAAGCTGCCAATGCACGTCCAGTTTGAGGCCAGGTAGTCGTGTTCACCCGAGTCTTACCCTCATCATAGAAAGTGACTTTCTTATTGGGAAAGTCGAATCCGTATGTGAAAGGTCCGACGCCCAAGCTATACTCGTACCAAAAGTTAGGTGTGATGGCGAGCCAGTTGGCTCCAACATCCTCGACCTCTTTGACACTGGCATAGATGTACTTAAGAGCCTCAATGTCATCTTGGAAATTTGGGTGGCCGTAGAAATCGACGCCGTAAGCGTTAGGTACGATGTAAGAAACACCCGCCTTGCCAGCCGCCCTAACCAGCTTGCTATGGGTGTTGGGAGGTGCCGTGAGGGCTAGAGTGATAACCAAGAGGTCTTGGCCCTTCAAAACCTCAACAAGGGAAACCTGATCGTCGTAGTCGATATGTGCAAGCTTGACACCCTCTGGAACGGTCGTCTTACTGCCCTTGCGGGTAAGGGCGGTCACGGTCTGCTTGCCAGACTTGAGAAGATACTCGGTGAAGACTTTTCCGATCTGTCCTGTAGCCTATGAATATGTTAGCAAATCAGACCTCGATAGCTTCTACAGGTATACTGACACCAACGAGGGCCACGTTCTTGATGGCGTTGACGAAGCCTGGGGGTTGGTTTTTGGCGTACTGGGTAGCCATAATAGTCGAGATGTAATTATGAGTATAAGAAGAAGTAGTGCAAAAGGGAGTGAAGTTATCTTGCTAATAATTCTCAGTTGAAAATTGTTCCCGGCCAGTTTCTTTTATCTCTAATACGCTTACAAATTTATCTACTCTTATTTCTCCCACAAAATCCCGATAACGAATCAGCGATCAAGTTAAGTGTTAGTGGACTGAATGATGCAGTTTGCAAATTCCAAGTTTAGACCAGGTCTATCTCTAACCACATTCAGCTTAGCATCGCATCATAACAACCTGCTTACAGACAATTTCTAAATTCCTAAGATCAATTTCGTAATCACCCCAATAACGTATTTATACACAGCTAAAAGGCCCCTTACAATAGCTCTATCTTAAGCTACCTAGTTAACCGCAAAGCTAACTACCTACTAAGTCCTTTTAACAGATACGGTCTTCACAACAATTATTGCAAGCTTTAGCTTTTAATAGCAATACAGCATTACAGAGAACAGATATTAAATAAACATAAATAGTATTAGTTATCAAACTACACATTACATCTTATGCGATGGTATAGACAACCTTCTCGGCACTAACTGCACGAACTCCTGGCACCTTGTTTGGAGAAATAAGTGGCAGACCCTCTTCGGCAATCTTATCAAGACCACCAGGCATTTGACGAACGGGGTTGCTATCCAGCTTGACCTTGCCCTGGGAAGCTTCTGAACCAAGGAAATTGAAGAATTCAGCAGCAAACTTGCGTGCTTGAGGATTCGCTGGAATACTCGCACCTAACACTCGAAATTAGCAATGTCAAACTTTTCGCCAACCTTTTAGACCTCGCGTACCTTGGTAACCGATTTCAACTCCCAAGCCCTCCCAAACAGCGCCAATCAAGGGCTTGATGCGCAATTTAGTAATGTCGAATTTTCCCAGAGCTGGACTTCGATACACTGCGAAGCGACCCCCAGGAGCCAAGATTGATTCTACTTGCTCAACAGTTGGCGAAACAGATACAGCATCAACTGCATAGTGCACACCACCAGTGTTAGCAGTCAGTCTCTTGACTTGCTCAGTCCAATCGGCATCGTGGTAGTCGATCAGAGCATCAAAAGCATAGGGCTTTGCCCGAAGTAGGTCATGTTTCGAGGCACTTGCTACCCCGATAAGATTGACCTTAGTGCCCGAAAACTTCTCGCTCAGGCGGACCAATTGAGCAGCAAAAAGACCGAGAGATGTAGTCGCTCCATAGATAAGAATATTGACAGGGTCGCCAGAGTTCAGGCCAAGGTGACCATAACCCTCGGTTTCGGCAAACGGACAGGGAAGTTGAAGGCGACTGAAAACCCCCTGGGCTGCAGTGAGACCGCACAAACTGATGCCGGCGGCTTCTTCAAAGGACATGTTATCGGGGATATGCCACGCGAGATCCCACTCAACGCAGACGTATTGAGCAAATGCACCCGGTCGCTCGTTGACAGAGCAAGCTAGTGATAGGACAACGTGTTAGTGACTAGGTTCATGGCGATCGATATGGCGCATGGAATACTTGCCACCCTGCACAAAACTTGCAACTCTCGTGCCGACTTTGACACGGGGATCATCCACTTTGTCAAGATCTGAGCCAACCTTTACAACCTCGCCTGCAAAATCACTTCCGACCACGCGGTAGTCCTGCGTAGCTACAGGGTTGGCAGTATATAGCCAATCAACTCGGTTCAACGCAACAGCGCCAACCCGGATCAAAAGCTCCGATGGGCTGGGTTCAGGAATAGGAATGTCTTGTACGGTGACAAATTTGTCCTTGGGGGCTAGGACTAGGGCTCTCATTGTGGTCATGGTATAGATTGATCAAAGTCTTGAAGTGACAGTAAGAAGATAAATGGTTGAGTATGTAGGTCAAACTGGGTAGAGATTTCAGGATGCGGAGGGTTTAAATATTTCACCTCCAACATCAGATAGTGTAAACCTTCCCTAGGCAATGGAGGGGTCGGCTCTATCATACCCAAGTGATATCAAGACTTGTATGAGATTGGTCTAACTCTTTGAGGATAAGTGTCCCTGAATCAGCTCAGAGAGATACTGACCGCCCCAAAAACTTATTAAGCAGCTCTCCCACAAAACACCGAACCAATTTTTACCCCACTTTATCACCAACAACTCGGATATTAAGAGACAATTTTGTTAACTCCGTGAACAGACTTTGAGCTTCTCTCATTGCCCACCAAAGTTTGCATCGTAGCGCAAGATACAATGAGTGACCGAATCGGTACGTAGTCTCTTTAGTCTACTCCAGCTTTGCAAATTGGCGATTCTGTACTCGCTGTCTAATCCCTGTCCACAGGTAATCAGGATGTGAAAGACCTTCAGCAAGACTTGGGTGTTAAGTCTTTCCAGACTCCTACGGGGGGTCCCTTCATTTGTGATTGCGGCAAGAGTTACTTGCGCAAGGAACATCTCAAGAGACACCAAGCAACACATGGTTCAGAACCACACAAATGCCACATTTGTGGGCAGTTGTATTTGCGCAAGTAAGATCAGATCACATTCTTCAGCATACATACTTCTAAACCAATTGTGTAGGGATGTCTTAAAGCGCCACTTGACAACTCATCAAGATCCTTCTGCTAAACCACGTGCTTGTGATCCTTGCCGTGCAAACAAGACAAAATGTGATGGCAACGGAGTTTCTGATTGTTCGTTTTGTAAGAACAAATCTATTACCTGCAAGTACTCTCTGCGCCGATCAAGGATGCAGAGAAATGCCACTCTTGAAAAACACGACAAAAAGCCTCTGAATGACGAACCATCATCTACCGCTCCAGTCAGACAACCTACCCCCAAAGCCAGTCTCGCAACAATAGGAGAGGCCATGAGCAAATCCTCTATGGCGAAAGCAAGATCAAGAAGTTATAGAAATGCATTACCACCTTCTATTTCAATTATTGAAACAGCAACTGAGACCAGCTCATCGAACGATCCCAATTATTTGATAACAATTCTTAACCAGCTATCTGCATCACCGCCCCGATCGACCCCCCTGCACGTCAAAGATGCATCTGCCTCCGAGAAACAATGGATTGAAGAGACTTTTCAGTCTTACACTAATCATTTTCATCATCGATGGCATATAATCACCGCTGCTACTTATGAGTTCAACGAAAAGCCCTTTGACAATGCAGCATCGATCATGATGATTAGGTGTTATTTTTCTAGCAAGCAGAATAGCAACAGGGTTTTCATAGATCTTCATTGTAAACTTGTTGACCAATACATACAGCTATTGGTAAGTTGCTGTTTGGTGACGTGCTATTTACCAGTTATATCAGCTTACAAGTTCAAAGGATAACATCTTAGGAAGCAAAATAATCCCTTCTGCATTGAGACGTCTGGAGACTTACCAGTCAATTATGTTGAACATAATCTTTGCATTACTCTTGAATGTATGTATGGTTGTGACGAAGCATCTCGTGCTAACATTGCCCTCAGAACGAAGAGATAACAGCAAAGGCTAACTCTCTCTGTGGTCTTTTCATTGAGACACTGCGAGTTACTGGATTTCTCAAAGGATTATATGCACAAGAAGTCCTCCAGACCGAGTTTCCTGGCAGCTATGGGCCGTGGGTCGGCATGATAACAGACGAGTGGAAGAGGTTCGTAATTTTATTTCTTTCTTCTTATCATATAGCCCTTTTTCATTTCAAGCTAATGCGGCGAGTGAATGAAGACTCATCTGTATTCTCTTCAAGATTGAGACACGGATATCTCTCGACTGCCAACGGCGTCCCCGACTACATTACAACGAATTGGAGACCACCCTGCCATCGCCCTTTTCCTTAAGAAATTGTTATGACATGGATGTTTTTACTCATCGCCAGCAATATGAGACCATGGGTCGTAATGTCCAATTATCCTCAATGATCAAACATCCCGAGCATTTTCTGCCTGTTCCGTTACTCGTTGAAGACATCTACCTCGGCCTTTGTGGTCTTACTGTTGAGATTCTTGAATCTGAGCATACTCGAGTAATTTCCGGTACAGTAGACCTCGCTGCGGCGAGATTGATACGCGACAGTGTCACTAATCGGCTTACAGTTTGGCTTGCTCATATCGAGGATGTCACTCAAAAGCTATCTTCTGATATTGTCAATCCAACAGATGATGCTCTATTGGTCAATTATCTTGCACGAGAGAACGAGGCTCAAGCCTTGTCGAGTAGTAGGGCAGTGGTTAGACAGCGTATCCAGGATATCCTCTCTGACACGATGATAGTTTGTCATCAACTTGAGTCGTTACTATCTACCAGCAATTGAATGTTCTTATATTAAAGCCAAGATAATAATTATTATTTCTCTCTTAATAAATAACATTAAATATATTCTAATTTAAATACTTTTAGTCAAACAATTTATACTCTAGCTATAAGCGCAGCTATTGAGTCAGGTGGCAAAATGTACCATGAGCAAGTTGAGCGAGTTGTGGAGCGACTGGATGACGATACCCCTCTGTTCGTAACTGTGCTAGAAAAGCTAAGCAAGGTACATTTCCACCGCTTCTGTGAAATCGGAATGGGCATACCTGCAGTGGTAAAGAAGGTTCTTGACTGGATTCAAGGATCAATTGAACCTTGCCTGGCTACCCTGTAGAATGTTAATAGAAGCTCAGATTTAGCCCAGCGCGCATTTCAACAGGTGAAAACCGGCTGCTTCGAAATACAACTACCCGGGACCTATAGAGTAAGACAATACGGGTTTAGCTCGGCAATTAGTCAGCCACCTATCTGCAACCCCACATGGCTGGATCTGACTCTCTTATTCATTCTTGTTATACATACGCCTTGGCTACCTGAATAAGCACTTTCACTTTGTATGTGAAACCCGAAGCATGCAATGAAAGCCATATGTATTTGAGATCATGTCGGAGCTCTTGTACTTGTCACCACCTGCCCGCGACCGAGACTGTCAGCATCAGCGAGTAACTCAAGATGATGCTATCAGTCGCGAGAACACCCGCGAATACATTAGTCCAAGGCGAGAGCGAACACATGACCCTGATGGGAATATGGATATCAGCATGTCTGATGTGCAAATGAAAGGTGCTACTTTTTTTGGGACTGGTAATAGTGCTTCAGCTCAACATACTTGGCTCAACAGCATGTGCGCCAATTCTTTGTCTCGAGTTTCCCCCAATCTCCTCGACCCGTTCGACACTCTGTGCGAGAGCCCTGAGCGACTACTACAGCTTTTACGACACCGTAGGCTCCAAGACCCTCATAAGCCTGATGCTAGATCCAACCGCTGATTCGTATCCCATAGCACTAGCCAAGACCGTCGGAGAGCCGCTGTTTCGAATTGACCAACCGACGTATTGTGTTGTACTACAAGGCCTGTGCAATGGGAATGGCCTGGCGCCACTGTTGATCCACAAGTCTTTGTTCCATTCCTTATCCCTTCTCCTAGCATTAGCAGCCAATAACTATCAACCTAACTACGAAACGATGCACCACCGCAGTCAGGTTCTTCAGTCTCTCAATCGAGACCTGACCCATTTCGGCGGTGACTCGACAATACTCCATACCATAACAGCCATTCTCATGCTGATCAGCTATGAGTACCGAGTCCGTGATGCATATCCTGTTAATGCCTGCGCTGCTACACATATGCGTGGACTCCAAGCAATAATATCCCAACCTAACATCTTGGCCAGTCAATACAGTGTCTTGCATCTTACTCAAGTTCAGCGAGCTCTGTTCTGGCAGGACATCATCTGCTCCCTTGCAACTGGTGCTCCCCGACTGTTGCAGTTCGACAATCGCGGGATATTTACGCGTTTACGGGAGGATGAGACGTACCGCAATTATTTTACTTTACCGCAAGGTTTTGTCCCGCACAGCCATGGGTGGCCTGCAGAGGTATCTGCTGTCTTCGAGGATCTAGGCGCGTTATGTTGCATCGTGGACGCGATGCGTCAAGGGACAGGAGCGTCAATCAGCCTTGTGGATAATGGTAACGACGATACTTTGGCTAACCAAGTACCGTTGATGGAGGACTTGGATGATCATGGTTACCCATTGTGCAATACCCAAGCCGAGTTGCAGATCAGAGTCGTGGATCTTCTTAGTACAACAGTAAGAGTTGGTTCCCAGGGCGAAGAAGCCCTGATTTACAGAGCATGCCTCTTTGCGGCTTACCTTTGTACATATCGACTCTCTGAAGGTGTCTGGGGAGGGTACTTTGCGCCCGAGAAGTGTGTCACCGGGATACTAGATTGCATGACAGACTTTGCAAGACAAATGTCGCCGTGGAAGCTTGCCTCGGACATCACATTCTCGTTGCTGTATATGGCTGGTGGTCTCACAAAGAGTCAGCTCCACAGGGACCGAGCGGTTGAATTGCTTGGACGTTATCGGTGCTTCTACGCAACTGGTTACGACCGGGACTGGGAGCTAGTAGAGATGAGATTGAAGAAGTTTATCTGGTGTGAACATGTCATGAAGCAAAAGATGTATAGGTTTTGGCAAGTATGCCAGATTTAAAGTTACTAGATCTAAAACAATAATGCCATATAGTTATAGGATGTCTGCATATGGAATCTTAAGGCCAGATACTCTCTCGATGTCCTCAGCTCAGCAATAAGGTAGATTCGGGTTAGAACAAGAACCAGGGATAAAGCCTTGCTTAGTTGTTCCAATGTCAGCCTCGTAGATCATGGCGTCGGGCGCTAGAATGCGATCACTGATGTGTACAATACCCTGCAATCATTAGTCTCCAATCATCCTCAGTCTAGTCTTCTCTTCCTATGGGCACTTACACTGGTTACAGGGATATTGGCTTCGACAATAGTAGCCACATTGTTGAGTACAAGATCTCCGTCTTTTATCTGAGCAGATGCATAGAGGTAGGACCCAAGTTGAATTCGAGTCTTTTGCGTAGTGAAGTTGCCGGTGTATAGACGCGAGTTTGGAATGTAGTGATGTTGAAGCATCTGTCCAGACCACCAGCGTCCCTTAGGCGTACTGGCAAAGCTCTTGTAATATTCACCTGTATTATTGAACGCTTCGTTGGACGGTGCGATAAACGTGTATTGCCAGTCAGCGCTTGTACTGAACGCTTGAGCGAAACCTACACCCAGTCAGCTTTGAACTACTAGTGATGGTTGAGAGTTTGAGGTCACTAACCTGGAGTCTCTTCGACAAGTTTCAGCAATTCAGACAAGTCGTCTCGGGACTTGATCAAATCAAGCAACGTGGTTTCTGAAGAATCGGCCGGAGGCTGGTAGATGTCATCTGGGATTGGAGCGTATGACAGTGCTTGTCTGTCGAAGACCTTCGCATTGCAAAATGCCGCGGCAGCGAACAAGACAAGAGATGGTTGAAACTTCATGTTGAAAGTCCAAAGTCTGTGACTGTGAGACAGAAGCGCGTAACTTAGATCTCGAGGGGTCAGCGAATTTGTAGAGAAGCAGATGTAGCTTTGATGTATATAAAAGGGTGCCTGGATGATATCAAACTGTTTCCCAGGACAAGGATGGCGGGTTGTAAGCTGTTACTAAGCCTCATATCAATTAAAGGTTAAACAACTGCCGGGAAACATATCACACGCCCGAAAGATGGCCCGCTACTCGCCACTAAGTTCATCATGGGAATAGGAATTGCGGGGTGACTTCCGGGGGTTGGGGGAGGCGTAAGTGCGGAGTAAAGAGTCTGGGGTATTGGTCCGGTAGTTCGTCCGAACAGCCGTTCGCCAAGCCATGCCCCTGAAATTAAACATTTGGTATCGGGCGGCGTGGAAGAAATAGCGGAGGCATTGCATCTCATCTCAATTCGTCCACATCAACTAAATCTGAACATGAATACTTGAGGCCCGAACAAGGTTACGGTTCAGAATATTTCACGTTACACCAACTTTCTTCTCACATCAGTTCCTTGATTACAATGAGATCTATTGTCTTTGTTTTGTTCTCGGCAAGGGCTGCCTTGGCGGCCAAAGCCTTGGCCCAGAAGCCACAGATGGGTCAGTGGTCGAATATATGCCGCTTCGAGTACAATACTGACCTCAGAAAGGCTGGAACTCTTGGAACAGCTTCAAGCTCAATGTGAGCGATGATCTGGTCAGGTCAACCGCCAACGCCCTCGTAGATACTGGTCTAGCCAAGCTCGGTTATGACCACGTCTTGATCGACGACGGATGGCAAGACAGTGAGCGTGATTCAGACGGCAAGCTTGCAGCAAACCACACTAGGTTTCCTGGCGGTATCTCTGTTACAGCATCTTACGTTCACTCCAAGGGACTCAAAGTCGGGGTCTATAGTGATGCTGGCATCTTTACGTGTGGAAAGTATCCTGGTAGCCATGGCTATGAGGAAATCGACGCACAAACCTTTGCTGATTGGGGTGTCGACTACCTCAAGTATGATAACTGCGGTGGCTTCCAGAGCAACACGCTCTCCGTTCAGGAGCGATTTCTCAAGATGTCATACGCTCTGGGTGCCTCGGGTCGTCAGATCTTCTATTCGCTTTGCGAATGGGGTAACCAGTTTCCCTGGCTCTGGGCCGACCAGATAGGCGAGTCCTATCGTATGTCGGGCGATATTTACTCGTCCTTTGCGAAAGACAGGCCAACTGTTTGCCAGACGGCTTACTGCATGAACCAAGGCTATGCTGGGGTTAGCGTTTTGACGATGATCCGCAAGATGAGAGAAATCAGCCCATTCTCGAAACCAGGCTCTTGGGGTAAGTGTATCTATCTGCGTGCACTTAAGTACTTGTCCTAATTTCTGATCCAGCCGACATGGATATGCTCGAGATTGGGACCTGGACCATGACGGAGCTGGAGGAGCAAACCCACTTCTCTTTCTGGGCTGCCCTCAAGTCTCCCCTCATCATCGGTGCTGATCTCAAGAACATTAGTGATACCTCGCTCGCCATTTACAAGAACAAGGACATCATCGCCCTGAACCAGGATGACGCGGGCAAGCCTGCCTTGTATCTGCCAAAGCTATCTAAGGAGGGCAGTTATCAGGTTTGGGCAGGGCCACTGAGTTCTGGAAAGAGGCAACATGTGATTTTGGTCCAGAACTATGGTAGCGACAACGTGGATGTTGCGATCTCGTTGGCAGACATCCCTGGTCTTTCTGTTGAGAAACAGATGAAGATCCGGGACGTCTGGGCAGGAAAGGCAATTACTGCATCTGCAGGCAAGGTTAGCTTGAAGGGTGTCAAGCCAACGCAGACAAAGGTCCTTGTCATTTCTAAATAGCGAGGGCTTCTATAATAGTACTAGGATTAGGTAATTCACTTAGATCAGTTCAGAAGTCAGCATTGTCGTGCAAAACTCAACGCTACGAATTTTGTAGGAGCAGTCTAGGTTCTAAGTTCTGTCTGCTATTTTAAGCTCTCGACCATAAGTCTCAACGGCAAATAACACATCTGGATAACAACTTAGACAGTCCAGTTTCTACTACATCTCAAGTCAGAATTCTCGAAGTCGCAGAAGAGAAAATCACACAGCCTCAAACTTCTCATATTACCACTATCTATCTACGCTAAGGTCAAGCTACTTCTTAGATGTAGCCCAGAGCAGATCTCCAAAGCCAGGCATATCACCGCCAGTCACCACTTCTCCACCTGCCGCATCGTATGCTTCCTTAGCCTTGGTAGTCCACGGATTGTTCAGTCCCTTAGCCTCAGAAGTATAGTAGAGGAGATCCCACACTGCCGGTGCTTTCTTCACTCCACCCGAAATCTGTTGCACAATGCCTCTGTTGAATTCAGAGATGTTTTGCCAGGGGCCATTGACCAAAACTGATTCGCATCGACGCCATTTCGAATCATACGGCACTGTCTCGTTCAGGTTGTATTTGGCTGTGTACTCCGCTCCTTTGAGAAGCAAGTTGTTTCCATACCCGAATAAGTCGTATCCTTGAGTCTTGGAGGTTCTAGCGGCGAGGGCAAGCCAACCAAGACCAGACATGACATGGCTCTGGTCCCGGCCAGACTCGGAGCTCTGACCTGTCTTGGGGTTGATGGTTGCGTCAATGCCAGCGCACCAATCGTTCTTCCATGACCAAATGGCAAAGTTGTATGCTGAGACATCCTCGAGGTATACTGCATAGTCCATCAAAGCTTTGATGGAGGCGATGCCGTAGTTGGCCTGACCAATAATAAGACTCTGTCGGAGGAACAGCCAGTAAAGCTGGATACTGAACCCTTGGCCTCCCTGCCACTTTGCTCCTACCTCCGTCCAACCGCCCTCCCATCGCATGATCTCTGCAGCGTTCGCAAACAGGGTTCCTTCAATGCCGATGAGCAGGGAGCGGTCGGTCCCAATGATGTTGGTCAAGTTGGTACCCCAAGCATCTAAAATGGTAGTAGAGCGGTCCCAATGACCTTGATCCTTGGTGATATACCCTGTGATATCGTAATTAGCTTTGAATTCTTATGAAAATGCACAGTGACGGGAGGGAACGTACACATGATAGCATTGTGGTAAGCGGCGCGGGCGTCATTTGCAAAGGAGGTGTAGTTGCTGATAGATCCGCGAGAAATCACAGCATATGGCCCATTCATCTTGTAGGAGGACTGCGAGAAGCTGCTGTTGGCAAACTGTTCGTAGCCTGACTTCCATGGGTCAAGTCCTTTGAGAACGCCGTTTCTCATGACTTCAAGGTCGTTGTGAGAATGCCAGAGACCTGGATGGTTGAAGTCGGATGGCTTCCGCTTCATGCCCTCAGTCCAAGGGACATACGGAATCGCAGCTGCAACAAAAGGTCAGTGATGGTGATGTTTACGGCTTGGTGGAGTTACCATTGATGCTCGGGACATCCTGCACGAGACCAGCAACCTCCGATATGAGTAAGAGTGACCACTAAGTCTGTATTAGCCAAGTGGTGAACGCGATACAGGGATGTACCATACAGTAAGCAGTTTCATCTTGAAGAGTTCTCGTTGATTTCGACAAGGCTGAGGGTTGCGATTTGCCAAAATGGCTTTGTTATTCTCTACCTGTTACTAAACGTGACGGGTATGCTTTCGCTACTGCAGAACTCAACAAAGGTGCAACCAAGTAAATATGTGTCGTGTGATTATAAGTAATGCAGAGACGCTATTGGTGTCTTCATTGCTAATCAATATGGTTTAGTGGCTCATCGCGGGGGATCTCTCGGGCCAGCTCCGATAACTAATTTCGGTTTGATGAAAATCCTGGTCACCTTTCGGCATGATTGCTCCAAACCAGCAAGTCAATGCGGGTAATTAATCGCGCATGCAGTTGCGGGGAAAGTCTGGGGAATCCGGGGAATGATCGTCAGGCCAGAGACTGGAGGATAATCTCCTGCACCCGTTTAATGATCAGGAATCGCAATGGTGTTCCTAGCGCGAACACACAAGTCGCACATGCCACGTAATCGGAGGATTGATCGGTCACCACCCGTGGCAGGTTTGATCAGAGGAGTTGGGCTTCCCTGAGGTATTCCGCACGTTCTATTCTGTTCCTTGGGCCGGTTTGAGTGAGACCTCGGGTTCCTGGCTGTTTTGGTGTCATGGGGAAATCCTAAAACGGGATGTGGTGACATGGGGTATGTCATCGACGGCAATGAATAATTGTTTCTCCGTCCACTGAAGCAGTCTCGTCCCATGATGTTGAGTTAACTCACCTGAAACGGCATCCCTGTGTTATTCAGTATCAGTATGGCCAGAACCAAACCAACTTTTCTCATAGAGTAGGCAAAACTGTTGCAGACAAGCCAATGCCTGCGCTTTTCAAGTCGTAGATGAAGCAGTTCCTTCTATACCACAGAGTTTTCTGTTACTCAATTCCGACCTGATTGAACCGGGAGAGCAACCTTGTCAATCACGAGGACCGTGAGCAACCATTACTGGCACGCGCGCCTGGAAAGTACGACACTCCAAGTTTTATGGCGATCATTTCAGTTATTGGAAGTCTATCGGGAAAAGTTATGGGAGCGGCTTCGACATTTTGTTTTCTCCTCTTCGGCTCGTGTTACGTGGCATCAGATCACTGCGAAATCCAGCGGTCTCTCCATTGAATCTACCGTGTATCGGAGTAATACATACTCTCCACCTGGTAGTTGAGAGGCTATAAGAGTTTCGCATTCCCAGGCCTTCGTTTTCTGTGATGCTAGAAGCTCTCAGTCGCAGGCCTCAAGTTGTCAGTTAACAAATACACAGCTCGTCAGGGAAGACAACAACCATCTGCACCAAACTCAACATGGTAGCCAAAGCAATCGTTTGTATCGTCGCGCTGGCTGCATCCGTGACCGGGTTCGTCCATCCTGGCCTCTTGCACACGTCTCGGGACTTGGAAAGAGCCAAGAATCACGTACTCAAGGGTGATGAGCCATGGACCACAGATTGGCAACTCTT